ATACACGTAGTAACACACACACACACACACACACACACACACACACACACACACACACAGTGAAATTCTAGCCCCACTGAAGTCAATGGGAGTTTTGCCATTGACTTCAATGGATGCAGAATTTCTCCCAAAGCAAAAGGTGTTTATTTCACATATATTTTAAAGCCATTGGTATTAGTCCTGTATTTTCACATGACAAACAAATACTCGACAAACCACATTAACAATGTAGGGCCAAGTTCATCCCGGTCAAGTGAAAAATTGTCTAAATTCACTGACTTCAGAGCATTTGCATCAAGGATCATAATGGCCCACAATGTTTTCTTGGCCCATATGATTTGAAAAGTGTTGTCTTCTTAGAGTAACCACTGATGTCATGATATGGAGCTGATGAAAATAACTGTGAAGGGTGTGTTGAACAAGTGAATGTTCTTGGGCGAGGCAGGTGGAAATGGAATGAGGTGACTGAGAACAATAATAGTACTTGACGGTGCTATAATAAAGGATCTCAAAGCACTTTACAAACTTTATTGAGTTCCGCCTTACAACATCCACACCCCATGATACTAAGTATTATTTCCACTTTAAAATCTGACCCATTGCCACCCAGAAAGCCTGAGTAGAGCTGGGATTAGCACTCAGATTGCTAGGTCTGTGCCTTAAACCAAGGACATCCTGTCCTCTTAAGATTATCCTTTCCTCAGTATAAATTGTGTAATGTTAAAGACTCAAAAAGCAAGAAATGAGAAAAGCTATAGGGTTTATAGGGTAATGTTAACTGAGGGCATGTTTTAATCCCTTCTCTCCCCCGCCCTAAATAAAACCTAAACAATATAATGTGCCAAACAACCTTAACAAGAGTTAACAACCTTAACAAGAGTTAAGGAACAAACACCGCACATCGACAAAGTATTTGGTATAAAAAAAACCACATCAAACATTTGGTTTTTAGCCTTTTTCTCAGTTCTCCCCATCTCTTCTTCTGTATGTTGTCTGGTTAGTCTCTAATCCTCCTGTATGATGTATGTAGGCAAACCCCTGTGCCTTCATGGAGCCCCGTTGAAGCCAGTGCAACTCAGCACAGGTGCAGGGGTCTGCTCATGTGCATCAGATGGCAGGAGCAGGGGCTTTGAATTTAAATGGCTTGGAGCAAAGAACTGTCTTCTTGCATGTCCTGAAAGGGTCTAAAATACTTTTAGGTACTATGTATTAAATGATTACATAAAAATAATAATAGTCTAGACTATGCCCTTGGATGGGAAAAATCCATGGGAGGGGCTGAGGACACTTCCAAAATAAATAGACAGGACAGACAAAGGGAAACAGGCACAGAGATGTGAGGTGACTTGTCCAAAGTCACACAGCAGTGGTAGAGTCAGAAAGAGAACCCAGGTCTTCTGGCTCTCCATCTAGTGCTCTATCTATCCAGATATCTGAACAGGATGCGTCCCTAAGCTATCGTGGAAACATATCCCAAAGTGACAAAGAAATTGGTTATGAGCAGAATAAAGCCTATTC